CTACAACAAAAAGGTTTCTCACCAGTAAAAACACAAACAGTAAAGTTAGCTTTAGAAAAATTAAAAACTCTTTTTATTTTCAACATATTAAAAGAATAAGATTTTGCACCAGTATGAATAAAACAACAATAAATTAGATGGACCTTAAGTGAAAAAAAAAACTTTTAACAGGGTGCGTAGCCAAATAATTCAACAAAAAATAAGCACTTTTCAAGCAGTCAAAAAATATTTTTAAGCACTTTAAAAAAATTTCATAATTAGGTAGGATTGGAAAGTTTTTGACAATTGACGGTTTTATATTGTTTTAACCGACATGTAAAAAAAAACCCTTTTGGCCTTGTTTTTGTCAATTGAGAAAAATCATGAAATTTCGAATCACGTAAAACGAATTTCAAACGCTACGCCTGATAATACGCCAGAATAGATTGGGATTGAATTAATTGTGAAAATGTTGAACAAAACAATGTGAACTGTGTCTTTTTGCATAATTCGTAGCGAAAATCAACATGGTAAAGGAAAAATCTCATTTTGAAAAAGGGAAAATTAAGCACTTTTTAAAAACACCCTTTGAAAAAGGGAAAATTAAGAACTTTTTAAAAACACCCATTGAAAAAAGCACCTTTAAGAGCTTTTAAAAAACGAAAATCGAAAATAAGCACCTTTAAGCACTTTTTAAAAATGCTACGCACCCTGTTTAACAAGCATATGGCTTTTAAATAGCCTGAACATGACTGTGATTAGTTAGATAGTTCTTTCTTGAAAAAGCCTTATTACATGAGTAAAGTTTCTTACCAATATGAAGACGACTTTGTTCAGTCAAACTACCTCTTAATTACATACACTACAAGAATAAGGCATCTCACCAATAGGAGAACCGCCTATGAACTGTAAGATTACTTTTTGAGAGAAACTCTTATAATATGTAATACATGAATAAGGTTTCTCACCAGTACGCACACAACAGTGTTTATTCAGAGTCACTCAATGTAAAAAACTCTTATTACATATACTACATGAATAAGACTTCTCTTTANGACTGTGTTTATTCAGATAACTTTTCAGTGAAAAACTTTTATTACATATACAACAAGAATAAGGCTTCTCACCAGTATGAATACTACTGTGTTTATTCAGATGCTCACTTTGAGAAAAACTTTTATTGCAGATACTACAAGAATAAGGTTTCTCACCAGTATGAACACGGCTGTGAGTAGTGAGATGACTTTTTCGTGAAAATTTTTTATTACATATACTACAAGAATAAGGCTTCTCACCAGTATGAACAAGACTGTGTTTATTCAGATTCCCTTTTTCTGAAAAACTCTTATTACATATACTGCAAGAAAAAGGTTTCTCACCAGTATGAATACGACTGTGTACAGTGAGACTAAATTTTTGTGAAAAACTCTTATTACATATAATACAAGAATAAGGTTTCTTACCAATATGAACAAGACTGTGTTTATTCAGACTCCCTCTTTCTGAAAAACTCTTATTACATATACTACAAGAATAAGGCTTCTCAATAGTATGAACAAGACGGTGTTTATTCAAAGTCCCTCTTTCTGAAAATCTCTTATTACATATACTACAAGAATAAGGCTTCTCACCAGTATGAACAAGACTGTGTATTTTCAGACTATCTTTAAGTGAAAAACTTTTATTACATATACTACAAGAATAAGGTTTCTCCCCAGTATGAACACGACTGTGTATTGCCAAACTACCTTTTTGTGAAAAACTTTTATTACATATACCACAAGAATAAGGTTTCTCCCCAGTATGAACACGAGAGTGTGAATTCAAATTCCTTTTCTCTGAAAAACTCTTCTTACATATATTACAAGAATAAGGCTTCTCACCAGTATGAAAACGACTGTGTTTTGTCAGATTAACTTTTTGAGAAAAACTTTTATTACATATACTACAAGAATAAGGCTTCTTGCCAGTATGAACAAGACAGTGTTTATTCAGACTCCCTCTTTCTGAAAAACTCTTATTACATATACTACAAGAAAAAGGCTTCTCACCAGTATGGAAACGACTGTGTCTTGTCAGATTACCTTCTTGAGAAAACCTTTTATTACATATAGTACAAGAAAATAACAACAAAAAGGNAATAAGGTTTCTTACCAGTATGAACAAGACTGTGTTTTGTCAGACTACATTTTAGTGAATATTTCTTATTACATATACTACAAGAATAAGGTTTCTCACCAGTATGAACATGACTGTGTTCTGTCAGACTACGTTTTTGTGAAAAACTCTTATTACATATATTACAAGAATAAGGCTTCACACCAGAATGAACAAGACTGTGTATTTTCAGACTATCTTTATGTGAAAAATTTTTATTACATATACTACAAGAATAAGGTTTCTCCCCAGTATGAACACGACAGTGACGATTCAGAGTACCTTTCATTGAAAAACTCTTATTACATATACTACAAGAATAAGGTTTCTCCCCAGTATGAACACGACTGTGTATTTCCAAACTACCTTTTAGTGAAAAACTTTTATTACATATACCACAAGAATAAGGTTTCTCCCCAGTATGAACACGAAAGTGTAAATTCAAATTCCATTTCTCTGAAAAACTCTTCTTACATATATTACAAGAATAAGGCTTCTTACCAGTATGAAAACAACTGTGTTTTGTCAGATTACCTTTTAGTGAAAAACTTCTATTACATATACTGCAAGAATAAGATTTCTCCCCAGTATGAACAAGACAGTGTTGTTTCAGAGTAATTCTCCTTGAAAAACTCTTATTAGATATACTACAAGAATAAGGCTTCTCACCAGTATGAACACGCCTGTGTATAGTGAAATTTCTTTTTTGTGAAAACTTTTTATTACATATAGTACAAGAATAAGGTTTCTCACCAGTATGAATATGAATGTGTTTGATCAGACTACTTTTTAGTGAAAAAATTTCATTACATATACTACAAGAATAAGGCTTCTTTCCAGTATGAACACGATTGTGTCTAGTGAGATTAAATTTTCGCGAAAAACTCTTATTACATAAATTACAAGAATGAGGTTTCTCACCAATATGAGCACGGCTATGTTTAGTCATATTACTTTCTGAAAACTCTTATTACATATACTACATGAAAAAGTCTTCTCATCAGTATGAACACTTGTAAAAAACTCTTATTTTATATGCTACAGGAATAAGTTTTTTTACCAGTATGAATTTTAGTATTTACTCAGACTTTTTCCTGAAAAACTCTTGTTAGAATAACAAGAATAAGGTTTACTTACAGGATGATACCTATTCTGAATTAAATTAGGCCTTTAATAACATATGATACAAAAAAGAGCATGCTCTATCAAGTCACTTACTTTGACTAAATTTTTACTTAAGTAACATATAATACTGTGGAAATATGATCACCTTGCAGCAGGCACATGATTTATTAATAGACGCATTTGTGAATTTAATTAAATTACCAAGATACTAAATTATTTCTATATAGATACTAAATTATTACCATGATACTATTAAACTAAATTATTTCACTTTATGTTTTTAATCACAAAAAACAGCAGAATAATGTACAATTTCATGTATTAGATTTAATAAACCAAAAACATAATCTTTAAAAAAAGAAAAAGATATATGCATGCACAATATGAATTTTATTTACTGTCAGCAAGAAGATATTTTATCACTCACATCGATTTTTTTTCTGTATATAGAAGATAATATTTGAATTAGATCTGCATGGAAATAACCTTTGTTAAGCGCTTTCTATATTGTTTCCGTTACTATGCTGGTAATTCACTTCACATTTGTGAGATTATGGATATAAATTTAATCCAAATAGGGGCAAATCAAAAACAATTTTTTTATGCTTTTTCTTTACACAAATAGGGTTTATTAAAGTCGTCTTCGGTATAAGCAAGAAAGTATGTTTTAATATAGTTTCTCAGCAAAGAATTTTTCAACAAATAAGTACAGATTTGAGTGTTGGCTACATTATCGATTGCCTACTTCAACACACCTGATGTCCAGAATCTTGGGACAGTTTTTAAAAAGTAGAGTAAGCTACTACAGAATATCAACATCTCCTTTTTCAAAGAGAGCATTCATACTGCATTGTAGAAAACAGCATATGCAATTCTAAAGATGCTATTGAGAAAATGATTGGAAATTTCTTGCTAGTATAGTATTTAACTAACGAAGTCGCGCTGGCATCTCAGAATTCACACACATGAGTATTAAGCACGCACTATTTTTGTGTCGATCAGGAACATTATCACAGTTCACATTTATCACACCCCTGATCGCTTATTGAGGAAGAATGAGAGTCTAAATTGATGATCCTCTTCTCTCGACGTGATTGAAAGTGCGATGATTACATTCTGTGTCAACACTCCGTAAATTAGAACATATTTTTAAACAAAATAGAATTTTCTATATATTTATAGGTAATATATAATATTTTAAGACATCCCATATGAAGAGCTTTAAAATCGTTACGCTTTTCTTGATGATTGCGACCTCACGGGCATGTTTGGAGCTCCGTCTTGGTTGCGCTTATAGCTCGCTAATTGTATAAAGGGAGATGCTTTTCTTGAAGCAGAAGAGTTAATTTAATATCCTTGGCAACAGTTTCTGTTGTCGCCAAATATTGTGCCAACTTATTCGACGTAGTCGTAAAAGTTGTTCTTAATGACTTTCTTTTCACTTTGGAGCATCCATATTCTTAATGTAAATAATATTTAATCAGTTTATTTACTATATTCACTTAATAAGCCCCCAGTTTCTACTTATTCTAAATTATGGAGTAATTTTTCTTTTCTTAAACTTAATTCAAATCAAGCGTATAAACTCGACATAAAAGAAGATGTCGTAAAAAAAGATATAGCAAAAGCAGCCAAAATTCAAAATTACTCGTACCCGTTTTATCCTTAACAAAGTAATATCTTGCTCGTAATTTTGCCGCTTTCTATTTCATATCGAAATGCAGAATACTAAGCTCATGTCACGGACGCCACTTTGCTATGACTCGAAAATCGTTTTTCTTCAAATTACTTTATTTTACGTTCAACGCACAGAATAATAGGGCTATTTACATAATATGTTATTTACAAGTTTGTTGGATGCATATCTTTTTAGTTGGAAAACTATGGAGGCGTTTTCTACACTAGGGAACACTGCAAGCTTCATACCGCCTATACTTCCGGGTTACTGTTTCCGGTGTATTTCAAAGCCATTTGGCTCACTACGTGTCAATAACATATGCCAACTTTCAAATTTAAAACTGAATTATAGGTAATGTATATATTAATCTTGCTCCTGGAACAATAAGACTAACATAAGATGGTGCACACCTTGCAACAGGAACAAATAGTAATAAACAAATGGAAAGAGGCCAAATCAATACAGCCAAAAAAGCGAGTTATTCAAAATCTAGCAACCATGTCACCTTTTTAAATAATTTATCTATAAATAACTGAAACAAATTTCCATTTCAAACTCAGAAGAATTACATAACATTAATATCTTATGAAATATGGCAGATTTGAGCTCAGAAATTATCTAATTTATTTCTTTTATTGAAAACAAAATTGAACGTTTGAACCTCACAAAACAAGCTGTAGTAAGCAGTTGCAAACTTTCTAACCGGAACTAGAGTAGGTATCGAGCTGGAGATTGTTTACATTTATATTGAAAACACCATCCATTATCAACAAACTGCCAACTGATAACTTCCGATTTCGGAATCGCATACTGTTACAGTATTACGGTAAATAAATTTTTTCTGCCTTCAATTCATTACAAATTAAAGTGAAGTCAACATTGCTTTCTTCATTCCAATGAATAAATGAGAATTCAGAACGTACAGAACTGTAATAGTTATAGAATATTCTTCTTCTTTATAGAATAGTATATATTTTCGCATCTATATAATTCGGAAAACAACAATAAAGAATCATCTGAATTACTTCAAATAGTATCCTTTTTGCTGATTATTAACAAATTTTTATCCTTCTCTTGGTATTTTTTAGTTTTGAAAGAATAATTTCAACTAGAATTCAGCTATTCTGTTTTCAAGTTGCAAATTGAAATTCATATTGAGATCATACAATTATAAAATTTTGCTGTGTGGTATGTTATTTAAAAGTAATGAAGGGATAATCTATATATATATAGATTATTTGAAAATAAAATTTTTAAACGAAGAGCATTTCATTTGGAATTCACCGGATTTATAAAGCAGGTGATTATTTTTATAATAAAACATTTGCTTGAAAATAAATTTTTTTCTTATTTGATGATTCGCGATCGCAACGAACTATAGGGGGCGTTGTTGTATGAGACGCATACCTGCGATTTCTACATGAACCGTCATTCAGTTACTCTGGAGACGTCTTTAATGTAGCGTGTAGCATTGTAACGCTCCTTCTTTAATGTGACTTATTAAATTTAAAAAAGATAAATGTTTGATATCCTTTCTTATACAACCGAAAACAAGATGGTATCTCTTTTTTTTTTTTTTTTTAAAGAAGGAACATCCAAAACACATCTAAAAAATATGTGTAAATAAACAGAAAAAAATAAGTATCTTCTTATTAGAGTTAAAACCTAATGCCTGAGAAATAGTTTTACTAAATTTAATGATATAACCTGAAAGGCCTATTTAAACTTTACATTCCATAGTTTTAAGAATCATATTACTTCAAACATTAAAATAAGCAAAAAGTATACATTAGCTTCATAATTTTATATAATTTAATTTTGTAAAAAAAGTTTTTTGACAAGTAATTTTATCAACAAATTTTAAGTTTTAATAAAAATCATTATTTAGAAACTGAAAAACGTAAAGTAAAGAATGCTTACGATACAAAACAAAAAAAAAATATTCTAAAAATTCCTTATATTAAAATAAACAACTTTCATGCTTTTTCTTTTTTGATTCATAATCGGACGTAGAAAACCATTCTATAGAAAACTATCATCAAGAAAAAAACTACCTAAAAGTAAATGTTTTTATTTTATAAAAATTAACACTTACCTGCTTCATAAATCAGAAGAATTCCAAAATGATTTGTTCTTCGATTTTTGTTACCATTTTTTAGTGCTACGAAAATGCGTCTTTGGGATTTGCCAAAAATAGAACAAGATGCAATTTTATTTTTTCTCGAGCGAAATATTTTGCCCATTGTCCACC